TGGTCTTCCAAAGGGAAAGATGCAAACTCTTCCCCTCTCCCACTGCCTCTACTTTCCCCCACTTGCCCTTACAATGTACTGCAGACTGAGCAACCAGACTGGGGCTGACCAGGAGCCCACTCAGTCCACTGACCCGTGTCAGGCAGCAACTGGTAGCAAAATGGTAGAGAAACTAGTTCATCCACACTGCACAAGATAAGAATTGACATATCCTGCCAACCTTCAGCAGACAGGAATTTAGGGATTTCTTGGTATCAGCAGTTTAATCGCTACCGCTAGACCTACCCTTCAGGAAGAGTTCTTGCCTTGTCAGGAACGAACATCTATTTTTGGCTTCCACAATATCCTGTGATATGTTGCACAGTTTGATTACATGCTGTGTGAAAAAGCATTTCCTTCTGTTCGCCTTAAAAGCAGCCCACTTGTGGCTGCGATTCTTGAAGTTCCTCCTGCGTGTCTGCATGCATTTGTGCATGTGTGTGGTTTTTTTTCTTTGACAACACCTTTGATTGCCCTCACAGTCCAGCTCTTACTATTGCTGGAAAGACTCACAAGAGCAGCCAGTCAAATTTTGAGATTGTGGAGCCAAATTTTATATTTTCTTTTGCAGCAATAGGGGAAGAGTAGGCGTAGAGTAAATGTCAGGGTGACATCGCATCATGAGTTGCATGAGATTCTCTGCGCCTTGAATCTCCTTTGCAACCAAAAGGAGAACAAAAACCTTCTTGGCAGTACATGTACAGGGGCTGGAAACTCCTGCTGATGTCACATCTACCCTTAAAAGGCTCTGCACCCTTGAAACTGCAACCTGAATGCTGCAAGCCTGAAGGAACCAAAGTCCACAAAGAGTCATTCAGCCCCACAAAAGTCCCCTTTCACTTTAAAGGTGAACTGCAAAGCAAAAATGAAAATTCATTTCAGTCCCATTTCTGTGCTCAATGCTCTCTATAACCAGACTGTGAGGAAGGTACCTATTGTGGAAATAATTTTTAATTACTTTTCTACAAAAGAAAAAAAGAATCCCTCCTCCTCCCACTCCCCCGAATCCCACCTGCTCCCTTGCTGTGCCCACACATTGCTCCGTCACTGGAAGTTCATGGCATGTGGCAATGCTAAATCTATGAGAGGGCTAACTTGCTGTTCTCCAGGCAGAAAAAGATGTTGCACTCAAACTACACCTGTGCTGCAGCTGCCCCATATGGCAGGGCTAATTAGACAGAAAGGTGAGTATAGAGAAAAACCATCCTTTTCTGTTCGCTCTGAGAGTCAGCAAGCAGGATAGCTGTTGAGTCTGTATCCATATTTCCCCTCACTCTTTGCCCAAGCCATGTTTCAGAAATTCCCTGGCCACAGAGAGCTTGCTTATTCTGAACACACATGTAGTCATGCAGTATGGGAGAGAAGATTGCCTCTAGGACAGATGTCCTGCAGAAGTATTTGACTGCAGAAGACAATAAAGGACCATGCAACACTCCAGAGAAGCAGCATTGAACTGTTGGAAGCCTTCAGATAATTGCTGGTGAACAAAAACCCCAAAGCCATTCTCTTTCCTTCTGTTCTCCATTTCTTTCAAACCGCTTTCCTTTTTTTTTTTTGGTCTTACCTTGTGTTATTCCACTTCAGACACAACGCACAAAGCAATTCACATGAAGGGAATGGTACTTCTTGGTGGGCCTGGAGTCCTTTGCCCCTATACAAGCAGCAGGTAAGACACCAGCTCTGTGTATTTTTCTGACCAACAGCTCTGCAAAAAGCTCTGAAGCAAATTATCAATATTCCTCTGAAACCAGGAGAGTCAAACTAGCCTTACGTAGCCTTTTTTTTTTTTTTTTCCCCTATAAAGGTCCCTATTTATCTTTGCAACAGCAGCTGGTCTTGTCTTAAATTACTGGTATCACTGAGTTTGCCTAAGAACATGCACCTGGGATGCTTGCTTTGCCAGGGTGCTGACACCTTTCTTGCCTTATGTCTGGGTGTGGGCTGGAAAAAGGGACTCAGGGCAGCTCTGGAAGAAGATGCAAATTGCCTCGTGGCACTTTTGGTAACTGGGGCTGGGTCGGCTGAGGAAAACACGTCTCGTGGAGCTGCAGCCTTCTCCTGCTGGCTTTCCCCTGGAGTCAGTGCGGAAATCACACTCAACAGCCCCCGGGTAATTCTGCAGCTGAGCCCTCTCGTTTTTTATGACTAGCGCATTCTCTCCAAATTTGCAGGTTTTATCCTTTGAGGACAAAGCAATATTTTATGTAAATTACCAAAAAATATGTAATCAGTTGAAAAATTTTGAAAAGCTGAGTCTTTAAAGGACTAGGCACTCTCTTTTATTTTTTTCTTTATCCCAGGTGATTTTACCAGTGAGGCATCAGATTCTCCCAAAGCTTTCCATGGAGTTAAAATTCAGCAAACATCCTGTGTTACAGATGTGACAGACTCCTGTGAATACACTAATCACAGAAAGACTCCATTAGATGCCCAGATAGCTTCCATTTGGAGACATCATTTCAGCAGTGCCTGAAACCACAGCCTTCCTCTGCGTTTTGCTGTAAAAACTGCATGCAATGAGGAGAATGGGATGAAAGGCAGAAAAGTGGGTGCTGGTAGGCTCTGCTGGCTGTCCTCTTTAAGGAGTCTGTGACTATATATTAACATGGACGTGAGTGCCTGACAAGACTCTGAGGCTTCTTATACCTGGACTCCACTCCAGCAAGAAGATGCATGCCAAAGGGAGGTCTCGGCATGCAGAGGAAGTAAGAGCAGCCCTTTCCTCTTGCACAACCCCCGGTCACGAACAGGCCCGATGCTACTCTAGGGTGTTCTGGTGAAGCAAAGCAGCTGCAAACCCTGATTGTTTCACTCCTGCCACGGTGCTCTCTTGTGAGGTCACGTTCCCTTACTCATCCCAAATGTAGTGAAAGAGATGAGAATAAGAGAAGGCTTCCCAAAGGAAAGCAGCGACGTAACTTCATTTGGCAGGAGTTCAACTCCGTCTCACTTCCCCGAAACCACTCGCCCTAGTGCTGCGTGCCTGCAGCAATTAAGTGACAGAATAAATCCTAGTTTACGATGATGTCATGGCAGGTCTGAGGTAGGGAAATGGTTTAAAGAGTTTTTTCTAAAAGTTCACCTCTGCTTGTTTCTGCACTGTAACCTCGGGACACCCTGCTTGGAGCACTGCAGCAAGGGCACAGCACACCTTGCATGACTTTATGCACCTCCTGACTATGCATTGCCACATTCTTCCTAACCAAAACACTAACCTTGCTTTGCCCAGCTCTGTACTGCTTCATTTGGCGATGATTACCGTATTCCCACAGTGTTTTTGTGCCTAACTCCTTCAGCAGCCCTCATTCCCTTTTAATGCTGTTTTGTTTCATGTGCAAAACCTTTAGTGAAGAAATCCTTGAAGTCTGCAAAAACCAGAGGACACCTTCTTGCATCCATAGACAGAGAGACAGCCCATCTTTGTGGGTGCACACTAATCCTTTTTCTTTTATACCAGCAGCGTGTAACTTGAGGCCCTGTAATTATCAATCTTACTTGCCTCTTACTTAGACACACAACTGCAGACTCCTCCGAAGGTCGCAGACCGAATGCTCTGCTTTCTCCAGTCTTAATTGCTGCTCATCAGAAAGCAGATGCCATAGAATCACAGAATCATAGAATGGCCTAGGCTGGAAGGGACTTTAGAGATCATCTAGTCCAACCTCCCTGTCATGGGCAGGGACGCCTCTCAGCTAGGTCATGCCATGCCACCCTAATTGCCTTTTTGCCACCAAAGCCAGCGAGGCAACCCAGCCATATGGGCAATGAAAGGAAATGCTGTTACTGAGTCACAGCTCTGTCAAAAACCTGGTTTCAAAGGGAAGGAAACTCCATTAATCATGCAAAAGGTCCATGATCTGCAATTAGCAACTGAGAAGACAGAATCTGAATACTCTGGTAAAGGGTCTGGCTGCAGTGCTGGGGCAGCTCCAGCTGGCCAGTACCCCTCCCTCTTGCTCCAGCTCATGCTTCAGTACTTTTCCAGATAAAGATCTGGTTTCTGAGTCACTGCTGCCCCGGCTGGGACAAGGCTGGGTATGTCCAGTGTCCTTTGTTTATAACATGAGTAAGATCACAACTCATCGCAAGTCAGTCGGCAAATTTCTAATCTTGGCATCAGCTGGGAGATCAGTTCTGAGCAAGAAACTGGACATGAGACGCCAAAGTACTGGGGGTGGGATGGGGAATATATCGCGTCTTAAG